GGGGGGGGAATTGTGCAAAAGCGAATGACTACATCTCTCGCATTACTTTTTTATTTCAGCATTTATTTCAGTTTCATTGTCTGAGAAAGGGTGTGGGAATGGTCCGTCACTTTGTCTGGGATGTGGGGAGCAATTTCCTGAGGAGTCCAGACATTCCCACCCACTATATTCTGCAGAAGCACTAAAAATAATTGGTCCTGTTTGGATCAGCATGGCTGGCAAAACTGACGAGGCAAAACTAAAAGTGATACCGTCTGGGGAAAATCATTTGGGAGGGCTCTGATGCAAACACGCCTTGTTTCTTCCTTTCATACGGCTGTAAATAATAGGTGAACTTCACACGTGAGCTGAACACCTGAGTCAGACCTACAACTTGGAGAAGGTTGAGCAAAAACAGCACGAAAGGAGAGATGGGAGATTGCTGCGGCTCACGTGGAAGCAATATCCGGATGTTTGTTTATGTGATACCAATTTCTGAGAAATTTAAAAGTGGCCGCAGACAACAAGGTGCCGTTTCAATGAACATGATCAATGTTACCGTCTGCAATGACAACAAAGAAGAAGGGTGGAGACAGAGGTGAGAGAAGGAGCCTATTAGTGAAAATTGTGTATTATTAATTACCAATAAAAAAAAGCAGGGCAGGAAGTGAAGGTTTGTGTGTAAACAAACACAACCTTAGCACCCATCAGGAGCCACCATGTATCTAAAATGCATTGTGTGCGCAGCTATGCATGCACCGTCTCTGTGCAGGAAGTGCACAGGCTACTGTCTGTTTTAGCTCCCTTCCTACTTCATTTAAGTCAGCTGTTTTCAGATTGGCAGCCCCTGGCAAAGAAAAGATTGGTAATGTGCCATCACTGTACCGAACAGCATGCCAGGAATACACTTTCACTTGCTTGCATTCATTTTAAAATCATATCAAAATGCAAACAAGCGTCCAGAAAGGATTAAATACATGTGATGTTGTAATCCATCTCACTTGAATCAGATGGATCTACTTCTAAGTGAAAGGATTCACTGTCCTAAATGTAAAGTTGCAGCTAACTATAACAAACACGGACAGGCGTGCGAAGCCACAGCTGCCTGGAGGGCAGCGGGCGAGAGAGCCAAACATATGGTGGACACTGTTGCTGCTGTTAAACACACATGTGCTTGCCATGTGTGCAAAGGAGGCTGATGTGTTCTGGTCCACATCACTCTGAAACATGAAGAGGGGCTTATGCATCTGTGGCACACATTTCTGCCATGTAAACATCTTGACTTTCCACTTAGAGCATGTCACATAAACTGCCTGGTTAATAAGCATTTAAACTGCCTGAAAACAATTTCTTGCATTAAAAAAAAAAAAAAGATCACTCTTTGATTCTTGCAAATTTAAATGAACCCATTTAGAAGTGGGTACATTCATTATGTAGAGTGAACAATAAATTAGCTAGGTACACTATAGACATGCAGATGCTGTCTTTAAGACACACAGTTTTACTCTCTATCCCAAGTCTCAAAGAGGAACTAACTGATATTAACTTTTCCAGATAAAAGTTAATATCAGCCGTTGGGTAGATACATATTTAGAATATCTATCTGATACTCTGTGACTCTGTGTGATCTGTAAGTAATGTTAAATCTTAAAATAACTGCTTTTTTGGGCAGATGCAGTACTGTATACACCTTGTGACAACTACTCAAATACTAAATCTCATA